AGCGATATTACTACATTAAAAAAAAAAAAAGCAATATATATCATTATGATAATAACTTACACCGAATTAGATAATAATGCAATGTGAATCCATTTTGATATTGTTTGCCTGCATACGTTATTTATCTTATTTGCTTAGTAATAATCTATCAGTTTTTTACTTTCGTCTTAATTTTCTGTAAGAAAAAAAAAAGACAGCAAAAGGGAACGAGTGTGCATAACCAGTATTTATTTATTTGATGAAGTATAAGAACTTCAACTTGTTCAATATTATTAATTTTTCACTTAATGTTTATAAAACAACGAGAAGGATGCCCGATGAGAGAAAAATAAAAAAAGAAAGAAACACTTACCTTCGTAGTTTTTTCACATCATTGAACACATGTTCATTAAGTTTTCAAATTTACTTCATTATTGTTTTTTTTTCCCTTTCTTGAGTTTACATAGATAGTGTTCGAAAATTTTTATATGTTATATGCATTTGTCCTCATGCACATGCATATTTCATTGATACAATTTTTTGCTTTCAATTTTATATATATATTGTATTTTTATTTTTCAAGATAATTATCTAACTATTTTTATTTTTTTTATTTTTTTAAATGTGATGTTAATTTTATATCATATTAATTCATATATTATTTTATTTAAAATTTGATATACAAAAGAACTTACCATTGTCGCTAAGATTATATGTATGCATCTTATCTTATTGAGTCACTATCTTATTGTGGGGAATATTATTGTTAAGATTTGAATCAATGTATCAATATTAAAAATACAAATATTTTATTCTTAAAAACAATCTTTCATATTCTTATTTAGTCAATTTTTCTTCAATGTAACCAAACTTAGAGGATGTTTGATAATTGTATCATTCTTATTGATGTGTTATATCTATTATGACTCACTCAATCATAAAATTTCCAATCCTTAATTAAAGTACGAGATTAAATATAATAAGATAAAATTTGTACTAATATACATTGATTTTAGCATATAAAGTCATTACATTAATACTGCCACATTTCATTTACGGTTGACCTTAACCATACGTAAAAAAAAAAAAAAAAATAGTTTTTTTAAAACCTTTAAATACTATCAATCCCTCAACTGTGTTTGTTCCACTATTATTTTTTTCCAAAGGGACAAAATGTATAGTAAACTAGGCTACTAGAGTGGTTAAGGTCCACTTACCCGCCCGGGCAAAAAAGAAAAATAAAAATAAAATAAAAAAATAAATTTGAATTACTATTGTAATTTTAAATTTGGTAAGGAATTTCAATGTAACGCGGAGGCAAAATAGTTCATTTTTCTGTATAATATATTTTTTTTTTTGATTTTTTTTATTGTTTTTTTCGTTGGGACCTTCTCTGGTCCGTGCACGGTCGGGCCGCTCGGGAAATAAGGTGACAATGGTCACCCGACTGATAACCTAGATGGTAAAGTTGTTTTTTATCTAAGTATTTACATGTTTTGAAAGCAAAGCGTCTTTGTTTTTCTATTCATGCCTTCATATTAATTTATGCAAGCTATGGTATTATTTTGCATTAATATGAAAAATAAATATTTTAAGTAATTTATTATATAGGTATTTGTGGTGCAATAGTAATAGTGTTACATTATCCTTGAAATATAAAATTATCATAAAAGTGATTGTTTATACTTTCAAGAGTTTTGATCACTCTATTTGATTGATATAAATGTTTTATTGTAAAAAAATTATATTGTCTCATGCCGTAAAAATTTCGTTGTTTTATTTACGATACCATGACTTATACATAGTATCATTCTTGTACCTTATTTATTCCATAGTATTGGCATAAGAGAGATAGTTAGTGAAAAACAAAAAATGTGAAGGTTTTCTCCGCACTACCATGATTGGTATTATATTTTCTTAATTACCTTTTAATTGTTTATTGTCTCCTCCTATAAATATTTCGTTGTTTTACTTACCATACTATGACTTATACGTAGTATGATTCGTGTACGTTATTTATTCCATAGTATGGACGTAGGAGATATCATTAATGGAAGATTAAAAATTTGAGGGATTTTACTGCATCAGTACATGTCGTGATGTTGAAAATTTTATCAACAAACTATGCAGGCTCATAATACAAACATAAAAAAAACAAACAGACAAAAAAAATGGAAAGAAAAAACTCAACGACACTTTAAAACCCTATTCGGAGTAGCTTTCAGAGTTCGTCAAACAAATTTTCGAATTCGGTATTTTTGCCAACGTTTTTATTAATGGCCCAAATACGTTGAAACTGAATAGAGATATACCTTGAACTTCATACATATCATTAAAAAAAAAAAAACAAGAAAAACAAATCAGTGAAATATGACAGTTTTTGTAAAAAATATGCCGAAAAAGACACCACTTATTAATCACGAGTGTCGTTTAGGCATCTAGAGTTGTCGGGGACAGATTGCCCGATCGGACAAAAAATAATAATAATAATAAAATATATATTATTTTTTAATCTTTTTTTTTTTTTTTTAATTTTATAAAAAATTGCGATGCTGCTCTCAGATAAAAGTTATTCAATTTATATTTTTGCATAACATTTTTTTTTTCAGATTGATTTTTTGTTTTGGGGGGCGGGGACCTTCTTTGGTCCTTACCCGGTTGGGCCGCCACGGAAAACAGGGTGACCTTGGTGGCCTGGGTTGTAGCCTAGATAACCATTTGTTTTTTAACATATTTAATACATCTTTTAGTTAGGTGAAACGTTTTTTTTTTATGAACAATAATAATCCAAAAAAATAAATATTATATGTGATAAATATATTTAAAAAAAAAACTTATTTAAAGGTTATCGAGTTTCCCTTGTAGGTAAGAGAATATTAATTAGGGAATAAAAAAAGGGTCTGTACGTATCTAAATCATAAAGCCGGTTAGGGTGAAGAATTCGGTGATTGTATGTATCTGAATCTAAATGTTTGTCTCTCGTGAGATGTTAATCCTGGTTTCCATCTTGTGAAGTTTTTCATAAAAAAGTACAGCCATCATAATTGTTAGTAAAAACCATTATTTTTATTTTTATTTTGTTATTTATAATATTGTTATGATCTTAGTGCATTTTGTTTTCTTTTTATGCTATTTTAAATCATTTGTGGTAATTTACTAAAGTTATTATTACAACTAAAAGAGATTTTTTACTTGTAGAAATGTCGAAATGTTTAATTATTTATTTGTTAGAGGTCTACATTTTATATATGAGTACACAACAACTTAAATATTCACTTAGCATGTGTTTTCACCAACATATTTGGGTTTATAATAAAAAAAAATATTTTGCTTTTAGGATTTGTCAACACCACATTTTAAATTTGATTTTTATCATCGTGGTCGTTATTTCATACAATTAATTTAAAAGACTCTTTATGATTTTGAATTCCACCTTGTATAAGGACCACGTTGTAAACCTATTATTACCTTAACCATATTTTCAATTATTAGGGCTTTAAAACAAATGAAGGTATGTTTGTGCCTCTATAAAAATAAATTGCTTAATATTGCATTAAACGACTTGTATGTTTCCCAAATATTTTTTGTTTTAATCTGGTTGGTAAAGTGCCCCATATTTTGGGGGTTGGAAGAATGTAAAAGACTGATTTGATATTATATTTTTATAATTACCTTTTGATTGTTTATTGTCTCCTCCTATAAATATTTCGTTGTTTTATTTACCATACAATGACTTATACATAATATCATTCGTGTACCTTATTTATTCCATAGTATTGACGTAAGAGAGATGGTTAATGAAAGACAAAAAATTCGGGGGTTTTCTAGTGTCGGCTCGATAAAACTTGGTATACGATAAAAAATCGACATCGAAAGAAAAAACTACTGATGGTTTAAACCATAATTTATCTTAAGGGAAAGTGATGGAGTAGGGACATTTGTTTGAGGCTGGAACACAAATTTAAAATGGTGACTTACTGGTAACATATGCGAGAATAATATTGAAACTTTTATGTTGATAAAATTATTTTTCCTTATAAAAGACTCGTCTTTATTTTCTTTATATTTTTCGCAAAAAGATAAGCGCTTAAACTTTTTGTTAAACCACCAGTACATGGCCCCATGCAAATGGAGAATCTGTTTTGAGCCTCTCCAAAAATTTAGGACGTTGAGCGCCGTAGATAAAATGAATGAGTGGTGGCCAGCCTCTGAAAGGGGTTCGTGGCTGATAGCTGGTGGCTGATAGTTGGCATGTACTGGCGTTTTAACGACTTGAAGCGACCGAGCTCAACTCTGTCAATATTTGACTAACTTCTTCCACCCCCCAAATGGCTTGCCATGTAGATGGTAGGGACCTGGGCACTGTTTTGTGGGTTGCACCTAGAGGAGAGGTACATCAACCACCAGATTCTAAATCCATTGAAGCTGGAAATTTTGTATGCAATGAATCGAACCACTCCTTGTGAAGCTGGTGCACCGAAAGCATGGGGGGGAGGGGCTTACCGTCTGCCATCAAATTCGCTGCAATTTGCTGTGTGCACAATTCTGGGCCCAGTGTTCTCCCTCACAGTCTGCAGGCCACCTTTAAGCACCAGCTGGTTCTCCCTAGGTAGGAAGCTATAGGCCTTTTGTGGAATTATTCCCATCAAGAGGTATTTGGAGGCCCTTGGATGCTATGGATGGCAACCGCGTCCTTTTTCGGGTTGAGAAGTAGCTCGGGCCCAGCGCAATGGCACAGGATTTTGACGTACTTACTGTTTGCATTGGCCTCCCATCAACGGTGTCAGAGCCGGCTGGTTGTCCCAGAGTACGGTCCCTATTGGGACTGAAAAATTGTCGATAGGATCAAGCCCTCGAAACAAACGTAAGGGTCCAGGAAAAGGGGGGAGGGCATGCGTGCCAAGGCCTAATGTGGCTGTACGGTCCGTTTTCTTCAGGGCAGGGCAGCGGCGGTAGACCAACCCGGTAGCTCGGCAGAGACGAAGATAGAGACGAGTTGGCAATCGCTTAAGTCTCCGGCGCGATTTTCACCATTCCCTCTTTTCGGCAGCGAGGGAATTGTGTGAGAGCGGCGGTCTTTGGTGGATATCGAAGCCGGCAGCCATGGTAGGCGTCGTTTTCACTGTGTTCCCTCTCAAACTTGTCGATGGCATTTGTCAATGTGTTCATCGCTGTTGTTGAAGGCCTTGTCTATCTCAGTCACACTCACTCTTCCGCGCTCTCTCACCTTCTCTCCCTCTCTCTCCCTCTCTCTCCGTCTCTTTTCCCTCCCCCTTCCTTGCTCTCTCTTTTCCCGTCTTTGGTCTCTGTGTTGCACTATCCGATTCGCCTAGGTGTTAGTTGAGACGAGAATATGAAATGGGCAGCGGAGGTGCTCTTTCAGCGTGTCTACTGCGTAATAAATGGATGGCCGTCGAAGCCTGCCATATCGATGACGATGAGACGGGAGCGTACGGCAATAGGAGTGGTTGAATCGCTAGATAAATCGAGGTTAGCAGTGTTGCCTATCTTGAGTGAGTCAAGAGTTACGACAAAGAACCCTAATTTGCGTAGCTTGGCCTTGTTAGTCAATTTGATGATGGTGTTGTGTGTAGCTGTTGCCCTATGTTAAATAGCCATGTGTTTTCGAAAATAACAATAACAAATATACTTATGGAAAGTAGTTTTCACTTATTTTCATCTGTGACATAGCAACGTGTAAGAGTCAAATGATTGTGAGGTGAACTGTTTTCTGTGGACCGAGAACTCGTTGCACAGTTTTGATGACGGGTCGTCCAGTTTGTTTAGGCCTGCCCAATGTAAATGTTCTGATTAAATACTCTGATTGTGCCTATGTGGCTGCTGCAGGTTAAGTACGCAAGAGAGCCGGATAACCCAACGAAGGGTGAGTGTGTTTATCATATCTTCACCGATGGTTTCTTATCTCATCTCGCTTGACAACTGTTCTGCAGAAGTGCTCAAGATCGGTGTTTGTTTAATCACCATGCTTATGGAAGTGTCGAAGATGTTAGGTTAACGCGGTGGGTTGGACAATAGGAATGATGGTGATTGAACTCCTGCCGACCAATTGAAAGGACGACAACCACCACGGGAAGGGCAGGGGCTAGTGCAACAGTGTGAACTAGTGGGTGCAGATCCCCTCTCCCTAGGGGTATGTTAAGGGGTAGATGAAGGACTCGTGGTATCCGAAGATATGGTAAGAATGAGAGGTGGCAGGGGTTTTCGATTGTCGTACTTCAGGCCGTCTAGAAGACTATGTGGATGAATCTAAATGTGGGAAGAATATCTGACATTTGCTGTTGTTGGCTATGGTTGTTATCTGCAGCATGCAAGGCCAGGGGCTCCGATCTCCGGGTGCACTTCAAGGTAAGGAGATGTAAACTCGTGACACAGAACCGTATTCAGTGCTGTGCTGATTCCTTCTCGGTTTCCCCTAATTCTGTACTGGTCCTTTTCTCGTTATCCGTCCTCTTCTGTCTTGTGACGGACCTTCCCTGTAGTTCTATTCTCCCACGACACTGCTTGACTTTCTTTCGTTTTGCCTATCACTGTTCCACGTTTGATAAATTTCGAGGTATAGCCGGCACTTGCATGTGGTAGTGTGCCTCCGAGTGTGTTTGTCCTTCGCTGTTTACCGAACGGTGGCCAAGATGGACAAGTCTCAACCGTGGACGTGGGAAAAGCTGGATTGAATATCGGAGGTGATAAAACTTTTGTTGCAGCTGAGCGGGGCTTTAGGTATTTGGAAGGTTTCGCTCTGGCGTAATGAAGTGAAATCAGGATGCGGATGGTGGGGAGGGGTTAGTGGGGCTGGAAACGCCCGCGCTGGATGTGTTTTACCAATGGGGACTACATGAGCAGCAGCAGGTCAGACAGCGATGGTCTTGCTGGTGGTGCTCTGTGACGTGAAGGCGGTCTTCACAGAAGGGTGCTGGTTGTTTTGCGGGAATCAATCGATGTTCCCTGAATGATTTGGTCAGCGAAGATATCCATGGCAGTTGTGTATCGCGGCAATCAATCTTCCCCTAATGATTTCGTTAGCGATGTGCTATCAACGACTGTGTTCTTTTGACCTAAATGAGAACGTACAGGAGATGCACTGCGTCTTTGCAAAGATGCTCTATGGGGCGGGAGTGGACATGATGGTGAGGGGAATATGACAGCGGGGGGTGACTTCGAATATCTGCTATCAGTTGAAGTACGATGAGAGGTGGATGGATCTCAGTGGTCCTTGTTAATAGCCAAAGATGGCGCAGAGCGAGAGGTCCCTTTTTGGTGTTGGTTATGGAAGTAAATCTTCAAAATCGGCGGGTGAAAGTGTTTGGATTGTGCAATCGTTTGAAGTAGGGAGGGGTTTTCGCCGGATGACCTTTGAAAAGGGKGGAGGGGGGGGGGGGCAATTTCGCCGTAATCAATCCCGTTTAAAATCTTGCGCGTATTGACGTCGTAAAAGCGAGGAAGGAGAATATTGAAGTTTATCGGGGGTGGCATTTAAGGTCTGGGAAATATTTTATCGGCAAGATCAGAAATCAAAAGGCAAGGCATATTGAATTGTCGGCGTGAGTTTTTAAGTTATCGGGAGATGGTGTAAATCTGACTATGATGGTGTTTCTCAATGTATTGCAGAACACCCGTGAGACAGCGCAGGCGATCAAAATGATGGAGTTGAACAAGGCGAAGAGATACCTCGAGGATGTCATCGCCCACAAGCAAGCCGTTCCATTCCGCCGGTTTTGCGGTGGTGTTGGCCGTACCGCTCAGGCGAAGAACAAGGGTCAGACCAACGGGCAGGCTAGATGGCCCGCGAAGTCTGCCAATTTCCTGCTGGGACTCCTGAAGAATGCCGAGAGTAACGCTGAGGTAAGGGCTCTTCAACGATCAAATTTTCGAATCCCATTTTGTACCGCCAGGCGCCTTACGGGTAAAAAGTCCCATCTGCAGGTGCTTGTAAAAGAAATGCTAGTGCTCGGTTGGAATGTGATGTGGATTGAGTCGTAATGAAGGCTCGTTTGTCGATCCGATTAGGGCATGTCTAGTGTAATCGGTGTGAGCGAAGAGTAAACGGGTCGGCGGATGATCTGATAGGTTAAATATTTAAAAGGATTTCGGCAGTGAGCAGAAAAGAACGGCGGTGTATGTTGAATAAAAGATTCGCGCTCGTGGGTATGATGTGGACGTCAACGTACCGTATGTGTGCATAATAACTGAATAAATCGTGGGATAACAAGGTGAAGAAGCTTAGTTTGAGGATTTTTTGAGAATCTCGCCAACATCTTCACGGCATAAGAGAACGTACGGTCGTTATGACTGTTGCTTGGGGCAATTTCAGTTCAGGCTCGCCGATGATGATTAGGCGTTCTATTTGGGTGAGGTCGGTAATTCATGAGGGTGTATGTTTGAGGTTACAGCTGGAACAGGTCTTAAAGATTTTTACGATTTTTAGCGTCTATTTAGTTTAGGAGCCGTATAATTAGTTGAGTTTGCCTTTCCTTGTGGTTTTGAATGGAAGGGGTGGAGGAACACCTTGGCGTTGACACACCCCAATTTTTGTTATTCCCCGACATGTAAGATTTCGAAGTGTTCCAAAGTTTGTTCTCATCGTCTCTGGGCTGTTGGACGGTGGTGCAAATACTGTAAAACGGATTCGTTCTGTTGTCGCTCGATTGCGCGGGTAGTGCACGCGACAAAATACGAGAGATGACACGGCGTGAGTCAGAATCATGACGAAGGCTAATGGCACTATCGTGCGAGTGAGTTGTCGCGGAGGTGGAAATTTTGACCTATCATTGGAAAATCTGATTTGTTTGTTTTTGAACGAAGTTTTTCAACATGGAAGTATTGTTTGGAGTTCTTTTTGTTGGTTATGGCCTTTTCAGGTTTTGAAAACTGATGCTTTTTATTAGAGGAAGAAGTGTACTTCGGATTGGTACCTCAGCAAGACCTTTCTGTGCTCCTGGACTCAATGATCTGGTCTGATATTTACAAGAAAGGCTTCACGAAATTTGAACTCGTCTGAGTACATACGTATGCGAGGACGTTTCTTCCTAGTTCTCGACAAATCAAGGTAGATATATCGATGTCCGGCCATAGATTCGGTCAGGTACAGTTGAGATGAGCAATTTGAGCACGCCCTCATTTATGGACCTCGCAGGCATTGGCTATGGAGTCCTGAAGATAGTGAATGGCCCCCCTTGTGGACGGTTCCTTTGTGTTTTGAAATCTTTGAGCCGACGATTGTTTGGATTTTCTGTCGGTGTCATTTGCATAGATCGTAATGTAAGATGCTTGTAATATATTGGAGATGTTAGTTAACAGTGGGGGTGTCCTTGGTCCATTCTCAATTTCGAGTATCTGACTTGATGTTTTACTTCGATTTTTTCAAGAACTGCACTGTCGGGTTGTTGAGGTTACAGAAATGTGCCTTTAGATATAGAAGTGGCTGCAGGCAGGTCTCTTGCTTAGGGTACTGACTCGTCGATCTGTGACTTTGTCAATTACTTGCAGGTGAAGGGTCTCGATGTCGACACACTCTTCATCTCCCACATTCAGGTCAACAAGGCACAAAAGCAGAGGAGGAGGACGTATCGTGCCCACGGCCGTATCAATCGTACGTATCCAACGAGATTCGTTGTTCTCCTGAAAATTCGACTCGTCAAACGGAATGATGTGTGATTTGCTTGTAGCATAGAGTTTGGTTTGATGTCGAGTGTTTAAAGTACGTTTGTGATTTGCGTGAAGCAGAAATGAGTTCGTTGTGATGACGAGTGTTTCATGCGCGAAATCGTTCTCTCCTTATCGAATGTTGCTCTGAGCAGAGTCTAGAAAGAAGGAAGAGAATCGCTTGGCAGTGAATGTCATGACTAGTGGTGGGTATTTGTTTTTGCGGGAAAACCCTAATCGTGACGTAATTTTTTCGCTGTGGTTTGTTTCCCTTGTTTTTGTTTATACTCAGCCTACATGTCATCACCATGCCACATCGAGCTTATTCTGTCTGAGAGGGAGGCACCTGTGAAGAAGGAGGTGAGTATCAGATTGTTTTCGTTCCTGTGCTGTCCGAATATCGGATGTTATATTGTTTGTGACGCAAATGATTGGGTGACGAAAGGTGTTATATAGGAATTGCAAGTTGCCAAGGCAGGCAGTCTGCTCATTTGAACTGAGGCTGTAACGGCGGCCTCGTGAAAGTTACGTTCAAGAGTGTGTGAAGTGATTGTCGTCCTGAATGAAAAGCGTATTCTGAAGAAATGTTTTGTGGTTTTGACGAGTTGGTGGTAGAGAATTGGCGTCTGTCCAAAGATGCAAAGACAGGCAGTCTGCTCATTTGGAACTGAGGCTGTCACGGAGATCTGTCTTTAAGGTTACTTTCAAGAGTAAAGTGATGGTCGTCCTGAATGAAAAGCGTATCCTGAAAACACTTCTCGTCTTTAAGTATTTGACGAGTTGTTAGTGGAGATTGGGTTTCAAAAGAGGAAATGAATTTGATGTTCAGGCGATTTGCGGGAAGCCGGATGCACCTCGATGGTGCAATACTCACAGCGCACCGAGGACTTCAAGGTTTTGAAAGACGGCTTCGAGGATAAGGACTTAGCTCCCGTACAAGAGTTTTTCATCCTCAAAATTAGTAACCGCAAGTGGAAGAGTGCGTCGACACTGAAAGCCACTATTGACGAGCTGCTGCTGCAATGTCCCGAACATGGACTAACCCGCTCCAAATTACGAACCAGTTTGCTAGAACATCGGCGGAGACCCTCAAGATAATTTTTAGGTGTCGAATGTGCTGGACATACAACAGCTGACGGTACCCCGCTCTTCAATTAAGCGGGTGGTGGGCACACGTTGCAATTTATATCAGAGAGATCTCTGATCTCGTCTGATGAGGGGTGTGGGGATTTCGAGAAAACTATCCCCTGACGTCGGTTCATGCGCGTGAGCTGTTCAATTAAAGCAAAGGATCCTTGGGAACGTGGCATCTCCGGTCTTTGGAAAATGGCGGGGAAATCCCTTTTTCAGAATGGCGGGAACCCGTTTCCGGAATATGCCGGAGGGTTCCTTTTTCAGAATGAATGCTTAATACATAAGTTGCTGATGTTTTGTAGCATTTAGGGTTGTAGATTAGAGAAGGAATGTTCAGATGAACAAAGGTGTTATCTATCAGCGAACTGGAATTTGTTTTGGGTTTATATGACGTTCGCGTTTTATGAAGCATGTATTTTTGTGAGCTATACTTCATACATGTGGTTTCTTTTTGTGATGTGCTCTATTCTTCTGGTTTGTACGAGACAGTTATCAAGCGGTACTGATGACTTCGTCGTTCGGTTGTTGGTTATTTGTTGCGTTGATGTTTTGATTTCAGGTTGATCCCGAGCCTACCGCCACGAAGAAGCGAAAGGGACCTGCCCGTATCCGCAGTGGAGCCACGGCGTAGTGGGGATGTAGCGTGCTTTTCTGGCAGAAACGAATTTCGACAGCATTCTTTACGTTCTGAATTTAAGCATTGAAGCATGTTTTGAAGAGGACGGAACAGCCGTAATTCCCTTTCCGTTGTGAAGACATCCGTTGTTGGATGTTCTAGTGCTCCCATTTTTCTAGCGTCGGTATACTTTGGGCCTGATTGAGCCGAACGAAAACTAAACGTTTCTTTGTTTGAAGAGAGCATTTGAAGAGGAAGAGTTTTTCTTGTACATTTACGGCAATTGGGCCTTCTCAGTTGGTTCTGTATGCGTGTGTATGATGTTGTGGTTTTTCTGTCAAGAGATGGTCCTCTCTGTTCGTCTCATCAGATCTGGTTGCCTTTCTAATGGGCTATTACAGTGAAATTCGTGTCGTACTAGTTGTCTTTGAAGATCCGGACCTATTATGGTGGGATTATGAATCTTGTCGATTGGCTGATAATGTGTCTGTCGGCGCTGATGAGTTGGAGACTGTTGTGTTTTAATACTGAAGTAAAATCAGTTGTTTGCATAAGTTAAGCCTAAGGCATATGTCATTCGTGGAAAGCTTGAGTGATCGATCTTGTCGTTTAGTTATGAAAAATGTGAAGGACATTCGGAGGCTGTGGTTTGTCTTTTTGTTTTTTTTTGTTTGTTTTTGTTTGTTTTTGTTTGTTTGTGTTTGTAGTGGACTAGATGGAACCTGTGGAACTTGTGCTTATGCCTCGCTGCGCTATTCAACACGAGATGCATTTGGACGAGTCCGACACCTTGAATGTATCGCGTCCTGAAAGTGTCCAAATGCATGTGAAGTGTTGTGCAGTGCAGCGCGGCCCGAGTTTAATTGTAGTGATCGGCGCTTGTGTAGCCGATCTGCGGAATTGGCAGTCCGTTGACGATCACTTCAATTCATATTGGTATAGTATAAAATTTGTGGAGACGAAGTCACAGTTTGCCAATCTCGTGTGATTGGTGTACGTAGGTGAGTCTCACGTTCTTTTGTTTGTCTGTTATTGAAGTCTGGATCTGAGGTTTTGTTTTCGTTGGTCTCGGAAATTTGCATCCGCCGTGAATCGTTGATCGGAAACAGGAAGCGAAAAAATGCGAATGCTGAATGTGGACTGAAAAGGGCACCGAATACATCTACAGTGACTGTGTGTTCTGTTCAGGCGAAGACGGTAGCTATCCCGCACAACGGGAAATGAAAACGAAACCGAAGTAAGTCCCACGAAACGGCAAGTCGCAATCAGACTGTAGCGGTTAGAACCACTACATTTTGAAGAGTGCAGAGGTAAATCATTTACGCTTCGGGGATTTTCACCGGTATGATGACGTTTGAATGGGATCTAAAGGTGTTTTCACTGGTGGATGTTGGTCTGGCCAGTATAGGTGTTTGATGAGGATGCATTGCTAACCATCGGGTTTTGAGCTAAACGGCCCTAGCTCCAGTCGCCTTAAGTAACGAGCCCGTTGTGCATGATTTATGGATTCGGGTTCTGCCAGGATGAATCTCAAAAGTCGCTGACTTAATATTGATGCGAACTCAAGTCTGAGCAGACTTAGTTCAGAGTCCTGATATCAATCTGATGTTGCTTAGGACTGTACGACGCTGCCCTCGTTTCTGTTTGGGTAGATGGTCTTGAGAGGACCAACCCTCGAGTCTTGATCTAAACAGCTCTAGCTGCAATCGTTCCCGTTGTTCATGATTTCTGGATGCGGGTTCTGCCATGATGAATCTCAAAGTATTGAACTAGAGTCGCTGACTCAATCTTGATGCGAACTCAACTCTGAGCAGACTTAGTCCAGGGTCCTGATATCAGTCTGCTGTTGATTATGACTGTACGATGCTGTCCTTGTTCGGTTCGGGTATATGGTCTTGACATTCTTCCTGTCTCTTGACATTCTTCCTGTCTTCTCTACTCCTAATAACGAGAGGACAACCAGCGTACAAGAACTCTGTGCGAAAAACGAACCCGAGATGAACCGGAGTGTGGAGCTTGGGTCTACTAGAATGATTCGTTTGTTTATTAGCCATTTTTTATTAATAATGGGCAACTCTCATTCGATTTAGGTAGTAGTTGATTTAGGAAGTAATTTCATATCTATGATTGGAGATCGTCTCGCCGTTATGAGGAAATGAGATTTTATCTCGCGCCCATTTTTTCGCTATGGCCTCTCGTTGTGATGACATGAGATATAATTAATCTGTCAATCCGCTGAAACTTGGATGACGAGAACTGTATCTGTTCAATGTTCTGAACGAGAGAGGGAGACGATTTGGTTCTACTTGCACTGAGTGGGCGTTGCACTCGTGGTAGCATCGGTTAGCAATATGTCACCGCACGGTGAACACGGATTTTTAATCTTTGAGGACGGAATAATGTCTTCGAGCGTGACAGTGTCCAGCATTTACGGAATAGTGGGTCGTAGAATGACTGTTGTGTGGGTTTAGTATCAGGCTACTAACCGGCAGCTATAACCATGACACTGTATTGGTGTAGAATGAATGAACGTCTTTCCAAAGGTGATCATGAAACAAGTCCAAAGTGTGTGTAGATTACCATCAGCGGGAATCTCTTACCACCAGAGGGAATCCGTCCTTTGAAATGCCGAGGCGCCGAGCAAATGCAATCAAAAAAGGTCCTTCGATGATGATATCCCGAAGCTGGCTGGCTGTTTATCAGAGACGCAAGTTACTGATGATATCTGATTGTTCCCTTGGCTGTCTGAGAAGGACCCGAGATTGCGCACAGGTACAAGCCGGAAATGCGTTTGCAGTATACAGGTCGGTTTAATTTTCTGGTGGCATAGAAAGCCTCTCTGAACTTATCGTTGGTGCCATGACTTGAGCAAAGTCGGGATATGGTTAGAGGGGTTGTAGGTCATCTTCGAGCATGCTCGCAAGGATCGCACACTCGGAAATGGGTTAAGGAGGGGAATACACGCAAGTACCGACCGAAAGCCTCCTTTGATGATGGGAGAGCAGATGGCTGGACTTTTGTGTACGTACAAGTAGTCAGTTTGCTGAAGGTATTTTGTGTTTCCTTGGCTGTCTGAGCCAAAAGCCGATATAGAGGTGGACCGTTTTTGCAAATAATGTCGTTTGGAAATGAGGTTTTGTTTTTGATGTGTCAAGCCTGACGCCGGGAATTTTGTGTAGTAGCCCGTGGAAGGATTCGATGTGCTCGTGGGAAGCATGTACTCCGTCGGCTATACTTTAGACGTCTGCTGTATTTTTGCTACTCTTTCGCTGTGCTTTGTCTGTTCAGTAGACGGTCGTGGGTTGTTTGGCTGTGATGAAATCTTGAATAAATCGAACTAGAGTCTCTGATGACTTCTGATGCATCATCTTAACTCTGAGCCGAACACACACTTGTCGTTGATGATTCTATTATTCATAAGGACTGCCTGTGCGCGCAAACGTATTGGTGTTTAGATGGACAGTGTCGGTACGAGAATGTGTTCCTTCATCTTATTTCGATTTCTGGCCTTTTCTAGGACGAACCCTATTGGACCATATGGGCTTGATGGAAAAAAAAAAGACATGCCACTTTAGAAAGTTGTTGATGCGAACGGTAAAGTGAGAAACGGGTTGCGTTCGGCTGTGACGAAATCGTGAATATATCGAACTAGAGTCTCTGATCAATTCTGATGCATCAGCACAACTCTGAGCCGAACGAACGCCTGTCGTTTACAAATGTGAAACGCGTATGCCAGCAAACGGAGATCGATGTTGGAAGCTGAAAGCATAAATATTGGAAGACGGCCATTTTGTTCGTCGGGTGATGATGTGACATCCAAATCGCAGTTGCGTTATTTGATGGCGGGGGGGTGGAATTGTGCAGGTGGAAAAATGCCGATCTAAGTCACTCACTGACGAGTAATGATGCAAGCATCATTTAACATCCTTGACCAATCGGACGACTTTTTGTAAAGCAGAGGCTGGCAGTTGAATTTGTTCAGAAAATAACAGTTGTTTTTTGTGGAAAATGACGAATGTCGACGTTTCCGCCCTGAGTCAGTCGTCCGTAAGTTAAAAGTGGAAAGATAACAGAGAAGACCAGCGTGTGCCCATTTTTGTGGGAGGAGCCAAAGGGTATGGAATCATTAATCAGATTTCTGAGCCACGATGTTGAAACGTAAAACTGGAAGGCACGATCTTGTAACGAAGAAATGAAAGGAAAAGAAAACTAGAGTGGTTGAGATGTGCGGACAAATATCGGCTGATTCAGTCGAAGAACATTACACAAATAACGTAAGCGGTGTGCGAATTATACGCTGTGTGGAAGCTGTCCTACCAAAAGCGCCCCCTACCTTCTTCACCTGAATACAACGTACGGTCATTATAGGTAGTTCGAACACAGCGTACGGTTATTTGTGCAATGTTTTTCGACTGAATCATGACACACATACATCTATAATAAACGAACGTTTTATTAGCGGGAAGAAGGTAACGTTGACGTGGGTCAGGGTGAGACGTAAGCGGGGAAAGTATTAGGTTGGCGTTGCCCGGTTGTGATGAAAGACACTACGTATCCAATCTGTCAATCCTCTGAGCACGGTTTGATGAGCAAGATGGCGCGCTGAACCGGTTGAGTGTAACGTGTCTACATACGGAGTATGAAGAAGTCTACGTCGCTGTTCATACCGAATCTGAAGAAAATCCCTTGTCCTATTAGCGAAGAGGTTCCTTTCGCATGGAAGCTTAACAGTATTGCGAAACGTCCCCCATAATTGGACGTTTGACATGCCGTAAACGTGGAGTCTATTATGCGAGGGGTTGCGTTTCCATGCAACTCGCGAGTATTGTGGCGTGCTGCGATGATGAATCAATCGGTTTCGATCTTTGTGGCAGAGGAATCGGTGAAGATATCTTCCTTGGCTGTCTGAGCAGCAGGTTCGCCGCGGTAGAGATGTTCTCATAGCACGGTTCGAATGTGTAAACCGATCTGTTTTTTTTTTTTGAATATATATTAGCTACGCATTTGAAGAACACGGGTAATTTAGTTGTGTGCCACGCCGTCTGGGCGAGTCTCTTCATTGGCGAATGGCTTGCCGTGCTGCGGTGATGAATCAATCGGTTTCGATCTTTGTAGCCGAGGAATCTGTGAAGAAATCTTCCTTGGCTGTCTGAGCAGCAGGTTCACGGCGATAGGGGTTTTCTTTCTTTGTTCTATTACGTACACTTTTGACGAACATGTGAGTGTTAGTTTAGTTGTGTGCTGAGGACCAAGGAGGGGGGGGTGGAGGGTATGCCGTCGGTAGTTTTAGGTCGAGGATCCATTTCCCGATGTAAGGACGAATTCTGAGCCTGAGCTTAACTACATCGATCAGCATGTGTGCGAAAGCTACCCAAAATCAGTGACACGCGGGGGGTGAAGAGGGGGGGGACAATTGACCCGCCGTGCATGTGAAAGTCTCTTTACTCGCTATAATATTTTGCAGTGCTGCAGTGATGAATCAATCGGTTTCGTCTTTGTAGCAGAGGAATCGGTGAAGAAATCTTCCTTGGCTGTCTGAGCAGCACGTTCACAACGGTCGAGATTCTCGCATAGCAGCGCTATTATGTCCACAACGGGGTTACGATGCTTACTTTGACCCAAGTCGACAGTTTTTAGTTTAGGGTTTAACAGCTGCACTCTTTAGGAGTCGATGGAAAGGAGTGTGTGGAGGGTAGGACCCCGTCGGTTGTGCTTTCGGACGAAGCTCCGTTTCTCGACGAAAAATAACAATGCGGATCGAAAGCT